TGTTTTTAGTCTTTTACTAGAATCATTGTGTAATTCATAACATCATTTCCAAAAAGTTGTTAGCAGTACCCAAAGCCATTCAAAGATCGACAACTCACTCAAATCTACCCATTAGGCAACTGTACACCTTTGACCCATCAACTAGAAATTACAAAAACACCACTGCACATATATATATATATATTATTTTTCCTTTATTTTTCAGTAGATCAGAACATTTTTCATAACTCCAACTTCCTTTCTTACCCACTAGACCTCCATTTTCCCTTTAAAAAAATCCTTCATTGTCAACCTCTCCCCATGTACACCAAAAACACCTAGAAATCATCCTTTTTATTATATTTGTTGCACTTCCAACACTATAGAATATTTTCTAGACTTGCAAAACATCAAAGGTAAGAGACAGCATGCTACAGTTTTAATTTCTGGGATATTTTCTTGAGCATCAGAGGATCAAGCTGAGAGGTTAGCATAAAAAACAAGATCAAGCCACTTCACTCACAAGCCCCCAAAACGATCATCCTTTCTTCTCCTATCACCACTTTCAAGGTTATTCCTTTTGTTCTTGAGTATACTTCAAAGGAGGGATTGTTGTATTTTTCACTTGCAACATGAGGGTCGCTCGCTATAAAGTGGGAGTATTTATTTGGGATAATAAATGGCACATTCATTGCTATTATTATTATGCTACAATTTATTATGTATAAATATGCCTCTCAAATTGTAATATTTGATTCTTATATAATTTTTATCCTCACTGCTCATGCCATAATGAACATCTTCTTTTCATACTTTTTGGTGGTTGTGTAATCATTTTTGGCTCTAGGAACTCCATCATCTTTGCCCAGCTCTCCCGTTCTCGGTTTGGCTAAAAAATTTATACTTTCAAATTTTGCTAGAGAATTTGCTACTGATCAACATTGTTGGATAGAATAAAACGACTCATGGCATATAATCTTTTACATGTGAAACGAGTGCTGCTAAAAAGACTGTCCTCATCATTTACAAGTG